ATGTGTGTGTCAAATCTAGTACTAGAAAGTCTTTTCCTCGATACAGAAGAACGAGATTCCCCATCGCAGGACAAGTTGTTAACAACAACGACAGCAACTCGAAGCAACTTTCTCGATCAATTTATAGCGAATAGGCTATTAAAGTTGAAAGTGATTATAGCGTGTAGACTAGCTATAGTGATTATAGTAATTATAGTGATTTAAGCATCCACGGACGAGAAACATTGCCGTTCCATATCTTTTAGCTGGTCTTTAATATAAATGCTATTCAATGGGGATATTACAATAATAACTGCTTCCCCTGACGTTTGATAATCACGCGCTCGTACGAAAGCTTGGTAAATCAAACTTTTGCCATAACCTGTCGGTAATACAGCAAAAACATCTTTTCCTTTTAAAAGGTCCCGAACTGCTTTATCTTGCTCCTCTTTCAGTTGAATACAGTGGTCAGTCGCCAACTGAATATCGCTAGTCACTTTAGAAAGAACTTCGTCAATACTCCCTTCTACTAAGGCCGCTATTTTGAACTCATCTAAAACCACAGGAACCACAGGAAATATAATTGGGAATCCCCTGATGACTGATTAGCCAATCAGAATTTCGCGTCCGCTCACGGACGCGAAATATGAGAAAACATATGGCTTTCCTGCAGGCGCTATTTCTTTCTCGCCCCTCACATTTTTTCTCACTTTCTTTCTCTTTTCTTCGCATCCCCCCCTAGCTTCTCCCACCCTCGCCCTCCCCCCTAAATAGCGCCTGCTACGCAGGCTATACCTGCTACCAGATCTAAACCAGATCTTTGAAGTCCACCTTATCACAACCCGCACACCCGATCACCTATATATACATGAACTTACGGTTACAGCTCAACAGCTGGCCTCTGTAGCTCAGTTGGTTAGAGCGCTGCACCGGAATCGCAGGGCCAATTCCTACCAGAGGACCTTGTGCTGCATTTTTCGCAGTCGTTCCTGGTCAGGTCTTAAAATGTATACCTATACTCACTTGGATTACAAACCCTAAGAACAGCATTCAAATATTAATACCACCAAGTGAAGTGCAAGAAACCAGATCTTTGAAGTATACCTGCTACGCCTAACTTAAGTGTTTGAAACTCTATCCTCTAATCTATTATAAGGCTACGTCATGCACTAATTATTAAGCTATGAAAAATGTTATAGAATTGTCAGTCCCGACAATGACTGCCATAAAACTTCAGTCGCTGCTGAGAAGCAAGCTGTCAGTTGATGTAGGTCATTATTGCTGCCGACTAAAAAAGAATCGAAGACAGCATGACTTCTTCCGAAAATTAAAAAAAAACTGAAAAAAAAAGAAAATTTTGTTTAGGGAAATGTTAAAGCAAAACAAAAAACGGACTCAGTTTGAATTTATTACCTTACGAGATAAGAGATAATTTATATACGTGTGGAATTTTTTTCTCAAAATGTTAGGCCGAATGCAGGGCCGTAGCGAAGGGGGGTATTGGGGAGGGTGGTTAACCCCCCAACTTTTTTAGAATTAACATATTCGGAAAATCAGGTTGGTCATTCTGAAAATAACGGCAGTACTAGTATAACAAAATTCTAGTTGTTTAAACAGCGAAAATATTATAAATTTGCATGTATTGTCAGCATCATAAACTGATTTACAAAATCACGGCATTTACATGGATAACATTTAACAAATCGTAGATCGGTAAATGTTTTTCGGTTTATTACTTCCCAGGGCCGTAGCAACGGGTGGGGGGAGGGGGCAGTCCTCAATATATCTTTAAAATACTGACAATTGATTAATTTTAAGCGGCTACATTACCCATGACAAACCGCAAAGAATCGTATTACCCATATACGCCTTCGCCCATTTAGTTCTTCTAAATTGTAAGCAAATTAATTGTAAATTTCGACGTGCTAAAACTCTGTTTTCTGACCATCAGAATTCTGTCAAAACTTCCCCCAAAGTCCACGAAATGGCATTTCAGAGACTCAATTAAAAAATTTCCTCGGGCCTTCAGCCCTCGCCATCCCCTATCATAAAGAACTTCCTACGGAACTGCACGCTTCTCTACGGAACTGCACACTTCTGTAATGTCTGTGCGTAAAATATGAGTATATTTTTGTTTGTAAATTGCGTTTTCATTTTCCGGATAGCAAACACCTTCGTGGCTTCGTATGGCATGAAATATTCGGAAATTTTTTTCATCATTCGGAAATTTTTGGCCTACACCCCCCCCCCCAACTATGCATGCTTAGCTACGGCCCTGAAGACAGCATATAATTTCAGTGTATGTTTAATATTGATTCCCTTTTTTATTATATTGAATTTTTTAAATAAAAAAGAAAGCAAAGTTATTTGCATGCGAGAATTTGAAATCATTTTATTGCAAACTCAAAGTTTATCGATAAAGCCGTTTAATTAATTAAAGGCAGTTTAGTTTTATAAAGAACACTTTAAAACGTTTTGCGAAGCGTTTGTGATTGAATTTTATCTTAAATTGAAGCTTATATTACATATAATATCATATCTAACATATATATGTTGGGAAATTGATAATTTTATAATTAAAAGTGATATTTTTAGGCGGTTTTTCATTTGTAAGAATATTCTTAAAAAATTGTTGTGTTACCATGACAACTACTTTAGATACTTCATGTTCGGAAAATACAATGGTTTTGTCAGCAAGGCGAGGGTTTCTGCATGCATGTATTTTCTAGTAGTATACTACAGTCAGGCTCGGCTGACACTCATTGCATTGTAGTATTGTATTACAGTTAAACAACCCCGGCTGGTAGCCGTGATCTATGCCGTGATGTATTGTAAGTATTGTAGTAAAGAGTAGAAATGGCTCGGCTGCACCCTTGGCCGTGTACAATGGTGTACATATTTACGCAAACATAAATCGCGATGGCTAAGAATAACCTGTATATATACAATAAATTAACATATATTCCGTGTAAGTGTGGTGGCGTGCGGGAACAACACTCGGAGTACATGCTGAGTGTCATGAGTTCGATCCCAGAGTGAGCGCGAACGAATTTGAATTTTTCTCTTTGCTGTAATTGCTTTTTTTCTCGTTTATTTACCTGTCGCATAGCTAGCTGTACGCATTGGGAATATGAATTTAGATGCATTTCGATGATTTTCAGAAAATTTAATGTAATTTTGGTGGTTTTCTGCTTATGAAAACATTCTAGAACCAGTCTCCGAAATGCGTGCATTTTTTGAACGAATAGTATACTATAGTACAGCCCGGCTGACAGCCGAGTAATCGGAGACAAAATTTCCGGCTGTCAGCCGGCGTCAAACGCGCTAATCGGGTGAACTTTCAAGGTGATCTACTTCTCTGGAATGGTGATACACTTGCTAGTCAAAGCATAGCAGGCTTTAAAGAGGGTGTTGGGGGTGCACTCCATTATTTTGCTGATTGTATTTGTCTGATATATTATTTGTTTATTATACATGTAATGCATGGGTCAATAAATAATTTGGACAGCTAGCTAGATAAATAAAATTTGTCTTTTTATATTTCTTAGTCTAATAAATCCTGTCCATATACAAGTTAAAATACAACTTACAAGTTAGAATACAACTACTGCATGGTACTGCATTTTGGTCCAGTCTCGTACCCAGGCGCAAATAACGTACTAAAAATAGCAACACTACAGTGTTTTTATATAGATCAGTGGCTAAGATAGCGGGGGTGCTTGGGCAGGATACGACTGGGTTCTGCAGCACCTGGCAGAATATGTAAATATGACTCTTCAGAAATACGATATCTGAAGAATCAAACCATTCAGCTTTTTACTCGTACGTTTTGAATACTTTTTTGGCGTTTTTGGTGCTGAATATCACATTTATATGTGCTTATGGATGACCTGGAACAATCACTGAAGGAATTATCATTTGACGTTAATTTTTTATAGAATTTGGTTGCATTTTATATATTTGTAGTAAAATGTGGTGTTAGGATTATTCAGTATAAAGTCTAAGTTTGTGTTGTTCATGAATTTATTGCTCAATATGTTTTGTGAATTTACTAAATCGAACTTGTCTGTCAGCCATTATCGTATTATTCTGTTAATAAAATTATTCTTTGAATAGCATCTTCAAGTTCTGATGATGAATTTGATGTATTGCATGTGGAACTATTTCAAGGTGAGTCAGCTGGTGAACTTTGGAAATTTATTCTCCCCGTTGAATATATTTCTTTTATAAGCTAATATAATTCCTATAGGCATTAAATGCTCAAACAGGGTGACATTTTATATATGTATAAAATGTCACCCTGTTTGAGCATTTCATGTTTCCATGTTAATTACAGCATGTATAAAGGCTTATACTAGGCTCATTTAATAGTCTTTCATTATATTAATATGCAGTTTTCAACCCATCAAATATAATTCATATAATATAATACCCCATGGAATTGCACAAACTACGGGAGAGGCAGGGGGGGGGACAAAGATTGTTTGGTCAGTATAAATCTCCTATGCAATAGTCCCATTACAGTGTGTCTACAGTAAGTGGGGCCACTTAAGAACACTAACCAATATTGAAAAATTAATCAAACTGAGCATTATAGCCAATCAGCATTAGGCCAAAAACAATTTGAACAAATAAACGAATGTCAAATGGTAAAAATAGACTTGTAAAAGTAAACACTGCAGTTAATGGCTTCCTGAATCTTTCTTTTGATTGGACGAGCTTTAGTTTGATTAGATTTTTCTTTCTGTTCTGCAATGGGATTGGTTAGTGTTCTCTAAGTGGCCCCACTTACAGAAGATGCACTGTAATGGTCTGAAGGGTTATGTCCAAAGTTGTAGATTGTGAGATATTACTGTATTTAGTATTTTTGCACAAGTGAATATAACAAATCCTACAAGTTGATTGGTCAAATTTGACGTCTCAAGCTGTCATATTCACCTAAAGGTGAATATAACAAAACCGAAATTTGCAAAACGGCGGCTATCAGTTACTGATAAAGAAATAAGCGAAATTAAAATAAATTCAGTCACAAAGGACTTGTGTAAAAATACAAAAACAATTATTCGCCTCAGGCTTGGTGATTATCGGGGAATATTCACCTCGAATTCGTACCGGCGAATATTCCCCGATAATAAGCTCGCCTTCGGCGAATAATTGTTAAATATATTTGTGTTAAATATAAGGGAACTAACCTTTTTGGTGCGAAAATGACATTGCTTGGCCATTAAGGGGGCTGGGGGGTAGTTAGTGATCCCGGAACATAGTATCCATAAATTTTTTGAAGTTTATGGATTGTGTTAAAACTTTGAAAAATTTCTAGAACCTGATGCTACTAGTACACCAGTGAAAAAGAGGCCAGGGAAACATTCTTTGACTCCTGAGTCCAAAGCTGCTGCTGAATCCAAACCCAAGAGGTTTGCATGTAAACAAGTGAATTGTAACATTACATTCAATTTAATAACCCCTTCCCTCTATCACATTTTTCAATAAACTCGGCTGCTGTTTATGACACAGGCTATTCAGCTGATTCATGTCCAAAAAAATCTTTCCTAATGGTTGCAATTATTGGATAAGTACTAAAACATTAATTGCCATTTACTAAATTGAGTTGATAGTCTATTTAAATTAACCTGAGTGATCTGTGTCTCCTTCGATCATCCGGATGTATCATGTCGGTGGTATTTTGGCATCACACGATTATAGCATCATCTGGAAGCAATTTTGCACAAGCATTTTGCATGGCTACAGTTTCAAGACAAATAATGTACACATTGCAATATATATGGAGAATATTACATGATACAGTACATTTCCATAAGAACTATGTATACGAAATATCATTACAATCTTGTTTAATGCATAATGCTGTATTTTAGCATATAATTTGTCAAGTGTCCAATGCAATGAAAGAAGACACAGATTGTTTACCGAATTGGAATGTATTGTGGAATATCATGAAGTGTCAGATGTATATGTGAAACAGTCACTGTTGATGGCCTTACTTGATTTATCTGATGATGACAAGAGCATTCTAACACGGTCGATTAAAGGACTTTTTCCAAATTCAAATAAGAAAACAATGATGACTGAATGTGAAACAATGTATCCTTTTTTGAAGGTGAAACAATACATCCAATTTACAATGACTTTTATTGGCTACCATTTGAATTGATATATGTCTGCATGCATCTCTCATTTGCTACTGGTTGCATGACTTGCCAAATTAAAATTTAGTATTTTTCTTGTTGAGCATGCATAGTTACAGTAGACCAATACACATTGTTTTGTTTGGTACAGTACAGGGCCGTTAATACAGGATTTTTTCACCAGGGGGTCAGTAAGGCCTATATGCCGAAAAGTCCCAAATATCCAAAGAATAATTAATAATGTCATTCTAAATATTGTAAATATAGTTTTCTCTGGAGGGAGGGAGTTGCCCCCCCCCCCACTCTGTACGGCCCTGGTACAGTATAATATAAGTATTAGTGTAAGTTTTACAACTAACATTAACTTGACACTTTCCTTAACATTTAATAAAGAGTTGTTTATACCAATCTCTCTGTTAAAAATACACATGCCAGAAGTCCTGTTGTTCGTAAGCAGGCATTGAAAGGATAGGCATTGAAAATTCCTATAGGAATTCCTATAGGAATTGAAATTTCCTATAGGAATTCCTATTGGCATTGAAAATTCCTATAGGAATTCCTATAGGAGTTGAAAATGGTGAAAAAAAATTCCTATAGGAAAAAATATTCCTATAGGAATTCCTATAGGATTGGAAAATGGCTATAGGAATTCCTATAGGAAATGAAAATTCCTATAGGATTTGAAATTTAGGAATTCTTATAGGATTGGAAAATGGTGGGAAAAATTCATAGGCTATACCACTATGGCCTGATACATGCATGGGTATAAGAACTTTACTTATATAAAAAATTATACAGATAAATATAATTTACGAAATAACTCCTTCCTACAGGAATTTCTATTTCTTATAGGAATTTTTTCACCATTATCATATCCTACAAGAATTCTTATAGGAATTTTAATTTCTTATACAACTACACTATTCCTATATCGTATTTTACTCATGACATTTATTAATAGAGAATTTAATACTGGGACTATTTATTTTCTAAGATTAAATGAATAATTACCGCAATGTGCGCGACTGACAGACTGGTGTCTAGTTTTCTTGCCACGCGCGCAAAGCATCAAGGGATAGATCATCACACCTCCGATATTTTTCAAGTCAGTGTTTGTCAATGGTTTATGTGCAAAATAGAACTATTTCCGATGGGATTCAACTGGATTTTCACTAGTAATACATCAGGGATGTTTGCATAATGTTCAGGTAAGAATAAGTTTATATTTTATTTATAATAAAGCAAATTATAAAGGAAATACCTCAAATCTTCTTTTGTGAAATTCGAGCATGTGGTTCGATAAAATTTGAATTTGCCGCGACAATATAAACGGAATTAGAATGCTGATATAAATATACTTATAGCGTTTATACTTCAACAAATGCTACTATAAAAGTTTATATTTGAATCAGACTTATCCATGTTTATTAATATATTTGTATATCCTAAGTGCCAACTGTATATGCCAGATTAATTGTAAATTGTCAGCCATATTTAATGCATGCCGATAGAAAATTTAACTACTTGCTCAAATCAGCAGCAGTATTTATTCATATGTTTTGTTTAAATTAAACAATTTTCATTTTGAGAGGTCTTGCACCAGTCAATGTATTAAAATCTGTTAGCCTTTATAGACATGCTTTAGTGTAATGCCAGGAAAATTATCCATGTTTTTCTATTAATTAAACATAACTATGTGATATATGGTATTCATATTAACTAGGCTCTCTGCTAGCTAGCTTACATTTCATGCTAACTTGTTAAGATGAATGTGCTCAACTTTCAGCACTTTTTTATTTTACCTTGTCTAACACCAGATCATTTTACTTGAAAGAGAGTGGACAACTTTGATAGGTTACCTTGCTGTCTCCCTTTGTTTTGTGTAAACTCATTAAGACCCAATTCACAAATTCACACTAATGTGCTCTATTTCAAAGCTCAATATTTTGCCCTGTTAATACCAGACTATTTTGCATTATTTGGCATTAGCACATTTAGATGTAATTCACCCTAAAGCCTAGTTTCCATTTGGTTGTTAGTTGTCGCTGGCACGACAAGCGGTAGATGTGAAATAGTCTAATATAATAATAGTCTGTTTGTGTGATATGCAAATCAGTCTTAATGATTGCAGAGTTTTTTGTTGACACTCTATTACATCAGCCACTTGTTGTGCCATAGACTTGCTCCAAGTCTCTCTTTGTGGACATCTATATATTGTACATCTATATTGTACGTTACACGACGTACTGCTGAGGGGGAGAGGAGGAAAGAGAAGAGAGACTTGTAACATCTGGCAAGCAGACATACTTCCGGCTGGTCAATTTCGACCAGCCGGAAGTAGATGGCCGCATTGACTTATCACGTGTTTAGGGGGGGAAGGCGACATCTGGACTTTCAGAGTTATTTGTTTAACATAAGTAATTTTGTATTCACGAGATTTCTTGTAGATTTCACATCACTTTTGACTGCGTGCATTTGGAATTTTGGGCATTATATTTGAAATTTATTGTAAACAATGATTATAAGAGAACGGATAAATTACAAATCAGCCGTAATCGTCATAAACGTCGATGACCACCAGTGTTTTTGTGTTTGACAATTTGTATTTCATTAGATATTTATATGCAAGGTCAGTATAAACGGGTTATCATATAAAATGATCATTCTAATGAATGAATTGATAAAACGAATTATTTCTAATATGTACGGCCGCGTTTTTTACACGAAACGAAACGTTTAGCTTGATTGTTGAATAAATCGATGACTTGCTTAGTTGCTTTCTGTTTTGAGCTTAACGACGGTTTAAGCTAAACGGGCTTGATCAACTGGCCCCAGACTCGGCCCCAGATAAACATTTTTGTATTATCGAGATCGAAACTATAGTAAATTGGAAACCGTGTCAATAATAAAAAACGTACAATGAACTTATGAACATGCGAAAATTGTCACGCCCAAAATTTATACAAATGTTTAACAAGCTCAAAACAGAAAGCAACTAAGCAAGTCATCGATTTATTCAACAATCAAGCTAAACGTTTCGTTTCGTGTAAAAAACGCGGCCGTACATATTAGAAATAATTCGTTTTATCAATTCATTCATTAGAATGATCATTTTATATGATAACCCGTTTATACTGACCTTGCATATAAATATCTAATGAAATACAAATTGTCAA